AACATTCCAAAATATAGAGAGTTAGCCTCATATACCTTAACTTCTTGCTCCTGAGTGTAATACAACATCCGCCAACTCTTTCAATTTTAATCTATATCAATACAAGTCAAAGGGATTCCATATTAGCATAAATAATCATATTTTGGTCACTTAGGCATTTTCTCAAATACTTGGTGAGTATAAAGCTTCATAGTCCTTATTAATGATATTTCTATACCCAACAACCTATTCTCTTGCTCATAGATAAATTCTGAAATCTCAAATTGCTATAATCAATACCATTCTTTATCACCCATAAGATAATACACCCTTAATCAATAATCAGCAATCAACAAACCAAACTTATAATTGTTCATACTTTTATGTCAAACTCATCAACTCATATCTCATGAACTAGAGTATATAATCATTAATCCAATGCTATAATCAATTAGAGAGTGAAGACATTACCTTTTTGAAGTTCAATCCTCTTGAATTCGAGTTCTAGGGTTTCTTTTCTCAACCATGATCTCCCAATCAAATATCTAATGATTTGGAGGGTTTACCCATATTAATAAGGTGTTGGGGAATTGAAATTAACTTATAATCACCATTAAAACTTACATTGGATGGTGGAGGGACCTTTAAGGAGTTAGGTTCTTGAGAGCTTCCCTTTCTAAAGCAAGTTTTTGTATTTTAAGGGTGTAGGGGATGAAGTAGGGCTTTAAAAATGACCCTCTGGGTGTGCACCTGAAGTCCCAACCACACCTTGACGCGCAGCAGAGCTGTAGCACTGCCACAATTGCGCGGCCACGCACGGGACCATCTGGGCGCGTACCTGGGCGTGCATAATGCACATTGTCCAGTAAAATGCACATAACATTTTGTGCAGAGCTCCGTTCAGACTCCACAGTATATCTTTGGAAATCTATTTCAAAGGGCTACAACTTTCGTGTTTTGTATTTTCCAAAAATCCTTAAAGATTTTCACTAACTATTGATGGAAGAAAGACTTTCCATAAATTTAGTCGATTTTATCGGATCGTATGCTCCTCACTCTCCGTCTTGATTCCAAAATAATTATTTCCACCCATACTCATCCCGATAGGACTTCACATGTCTAAAATATCAAATTAATATCTATTTAGCATATCCACACCTAGTCTGAATGTACGGGGTGTTACATATACAGCTCAGCTACGTTAGTTAGTCCCATTTCCTTAGTGTAATCCATAAGCTCAAAGAATGAAATCCTATCTATATCCATGTCTAAAGTCAAAGTTTGACTTCTCCCCATATATTTACTAAAAGGACCAATAATTAACTCACCCCTGTGATAGCACTTTAAAGTAATAATTTTAAAAGGCATTGTCCCTGAAACAAGCAGACAACAGGTTTCAATTTCACATGCAAACAAAGTATAAAGAAATCAAAATCGACAATAAAGAAAGATATAACACAATAAAGAAAGAAAAAGACAACACAAGCTCAAAAGCACCAGGTTTTAGTAGACAATGACAAGAGATTCCCCATAAAGATGTCTTAAAGCCCTAAAAATACTCCTGACAAAATACCCAAATTAACCCTAACTATTTTGACCCACCCATCCAAATCAAAACAATTGAACAACATAAAATGAGAATACTAACCTGAAAATGACGAAAGCAACAACAACGACCAGCAGATGGGTTCTCGTCGGAGTCGCCTTCAAAGATTAGGGCTCAAGAACATTTTGGGAAAATAGAAATATGTTTGTTAATCTGGTCGAGGGGTATTTTTTAATCTAGCAGGTCAGATCTTTCTTGGGTCAGGATTAAAGCCTTGGGTCAGGTTGTCCATTTTTAATTAAAGAATCGTTTGTTTTTAATTTAAATAAGCGCGTGTATACACAACATAGAGTATTACTTAGACTGGTCAAAAGTGGTGTGTCATTGACACACTTTTGAAAGGTTTAGTGTGTAACGTTAAACCCGCGGTCAACTGGTGTGTAACAGGGATTTGGGTACAAGGTGGATGTGTAAACTATGTATTTTGCCTAATCTGAATCTAGTATAATTTGCTAAACTAAAGTTTCATTGGCATGTCTAAGAATTAAAAAAGATGCAAAGTAAATTTTTTTTATACCGGACATAGTTATCCAATCAATATATATACTGGTGTGAGATAGCAGGTACATATTAAAATAGTCATATGCATACAAATAGACCCGAACACCAGTGTTACCAAAAATATTCTCCATTTAAATGTATCAAATTAGCTAAAACCGGAAATACCTGAGCTCTTCTTCTAGTATAACAGGAGATGTTTACCAATAGTGTAAGAATCTTTAGTGTTCGCATAGCTCACAACTTTATGTAAGTCTGAAGCAGAACCCCCTCGATATAAAAACATAATGACATTTCAAATCTAAGCAGGTTACGTTACTCTGAATATCTTGACATTGGAAAGAGCATTTGAAGTCCCAACCATGAAAAGTCCTAGCCTATCAGTGAAATGGGAAGGAGAAAAAACCTCAAGGCCTGAAACTAATCAAGTGATAATAGGAATAAGATCAATATGTTTAAACCCTTGCATTAATGATTCTAAGTTAATCATAAACATACTACATCTTCAACATAAGATAACATATTTACAAGAACATGGCCAATAATTAGCTACAAATAGGGCACTTGATCAAGCCATTTTCGTTACATTCAGGACATCGACTTGGAAATTCATTAGCTTTCCCTTCTGGATCAGTAATTTTGCAGCTTCCATGGCAATTGAAACACAAAACAAACCTAATCCCACAACACCCTTTACATGGAGAAGTTGAAGGAAGTAAAGGAATCCCATGTAGAAGTTTCTTTAATATTCCTTGTTCATGCAATCCTACAACTTCATCAGCTCCACCAATGTCCCTGCCTCTAATAAATAATCTAGGAGGGACTACTCTTCCACCAAGAATCCTCCACAGCTCCTCTCTGTACTCAACGTGCATCGATACATCTCTCTCGTAGTAGACAACTCGAAAGCTTTCTAGCAGAAACCGGATTATGTTGCAGTCCTCGAACGTTTTCCTGATCCCTCTTAGGCTTGTTGTGTAGAAAATGACTTTGTCACTTCCTCCCGGTGGACACTTCTCTTCGAAATTAGACAGTGGTGAGAGTTCCAAGACCCTGTTTTCGTCGTCTTTGGAGTTACTTTTCTCCATGGTATCTGAATATTCTTGTAGAGCTTGAGGAGTAGATGTTTGTGTTTGTGTTAAAAGCTGTACTTCATGCTCAGACAATGGAACAGTTTTACAAGAATGAGGTTCCCATGTTGAAGTGTTTTCCATTTTATTGTTATCTGTGGGAGACATCATGTCCTTTGAATGGAGTTTTCCTTTTCGGACATCCTTTGTAAGATCAGAACTAATGTTTTGACAAAACATCTCAGGAGGGATGTCATTGTCATGTTCTTCGTTTGCTGTTAGGTGACTTTGGAAGTATTGGATTGGACGATTTACTTGAAAAACTAGGTTGTGTTTCAACGAAGTTAATGATGGAATGGACTTGATTTTCCTTAGAATTCCTCCCTTCATGCTTTTCATTTCCCCTGTACCTTTTCNCCTCTGTTCCTTTTCTTTTCCTTGTTTGTTTCCCTTGTAGACTGATTTAGCTACTAGTTTCCACAAAGAAAGAGTTGGCTAACACTTTTGTCCACAACCATATTTTCAAAGGTATTATTGATCAAAGGGGGATGGATAGGGACTTTTCTCTTGTTGATTTTTCTTTTCCAGTGGTTAAAAAGCAATGCACAAAAGCCTATTTGTTAGTAGCTTTTTGAGCTACTGAATGATGACAAGTAAATTGATAAACATACCTAGAAAAAAGAACATGTTCAACAGCTGGTTTTCAATTTAACTGAGAGATGAGTGCACATTGAAATGATAATTTCTATATGTGAAGGACTTCTCAGTAATTTTGCCAAATACAACAACAGACGTGGACTTTTATGATCGGTTTAAGCAATAGATAATTTCACCATGGAAATGGAGGTAACAACCAGTGACGGAGCCACCTTTGTACAAGTACGGTTAATCATCGAGAAATTACACCGTGTAACTAGGTAAATTTTTATTTTATGTATATATACTACATGTTGAATTCACTTGACTTTTTAGTGTATTTATTTCTTTATATTTTGATTAACATTTTGTTTCAGTCAATGATAACACTAAGTAGAAGGTTACGGGACCAAATTCAGGAGGGGGACAAAGGTGTACCACTCGCAATAATACAATCACAAGGGGAGCAAAGCAACTTCTTTTTATCGGTTAGAGAGTCTGGAGGATATAAAGCAACAACAGTGACTCAACCTTTTTGATGTTGAGCATGACCTGTCTCAACAAGTCAAAAAGCAAGCCCCTACATATCATGATGTTGATTCGACAAGCTAACTAAAAACATAATCAACAATTTCTTTGGATATTCTTCTCTCGGAAAGGAAATTATTATAGGAGAAAAGTAGAAAACTTTTAGTCTCAGAACTACAGAACCGGGGTCTCCCCTGAACGAGCATTCAAAGGATGAGAATAGAGATCGTCTCCCATACAACCACCCACTAGTAGGCATTGTCGACTAGATCAAACCAATCTCGATTAGAAAAAGAAACTGCCTTTGGAGTCGATAAAAGAATGTAACATTTATATAAAATATATTTCAACATAAAATAAAAGTATTAAAATTAAATAGTTTTCAAAAAGAAATACGTGTCATTCCTTTTTAACAAACTAAAAAAACGTGTATCACATAAAGTGGGACAGTGAGTAACAAGTTCCATGTTTGGCATTTTCAGTTGCAGCACTCAGGTATTCAAAGTGCGCACAAAAATATTTAAGTGCGCGCGTGGTCTAAAGGTCCCACTCATTCACTTTGATGAACCTGGCAGTTCAAGTGGTAGGCGTAGGCCACAATATGTGAGACCCCCTCAATAGACATCTGATCCACCAAATAGGTGTGTTTCGGTCTCTTAATAGTTGCTGCAGATTCTCAATGATTCAACGCAAATAACCCCTTCTGGCTTAAATAAGCAGTATTACTGTATAAAGATGTACAAGAAAAAGCCATAAACCAGATAATACAAGTATTTATACATTAAAGCAGAAACAGAAAAAGTTTGGAGAGACTCCTTTAAGTCACTTAATTACAATATTGAAAACACATTATTTGTTACTAGGTCCTTGGACCACCTAGCTATCCGCTGCTAACGCCTGGGACTCGGCTATAAACCCAATGCTGAAGCCAAAACTTATGCAGGACAGTTGCTTATTCCTGTCATCCACCATCTTCATTGTAAGAGTATATGATCCCTAAATTTAAAAAAGGAAAAGGAAAACACCATTAAGTACGTTTAAAGGCAGCAGTACAGGATTTTCTTCCAATTCAAACCCGGAAAAAGGGACCAAAAACATGAAAATCTACAAAAATGCCAAGCAAAAAAGGGAACCAAATGTGAAGGCTGTACTCCTCAAGCCGTAAGTTTTTTTTTTTTTTTTGATATCCAAAAAATCCCAATGCCGTTGGCACACCGACCCTGACGTGCGTCTAACCCGCACAACATAGGGATGTACTCTTACCACTAGTCCATACCCATAGCTTTACAGCACCCAGAAGTAGACCCCACTACTTTCCCAATTGAGGCACATAATATTATGGTTTGAAGACTAGCAAGGACAAAGCAGCTCATGAAATACAGAGACGGCTAAGCTTTTTAGAAACTTTATGCAGAATGAAAATAGCAAATTGATATTAAGATGGATAGTTCAAAACTGAATCGGAAAGTTGACTCACAGGTGGAGTAAATCCAGGCAACTCTTGTGAGTGGGAAATCACGAAATCACCGGAAGCTGGGCAAGATGTCTCTTTACAAAGGTCGATGGCCTCGTGGTGGACATGGAAGAATAAATAGTTGACATCAATCACCAGCTTTCCTCCAGTGAGATTCTTACCTGCAAGGACAACTCAATCTTCTAGTCATAAGATACTTCTAGCACATTATTAAACTTCTTTTTTTTGTCCACAAAGGGTTGAGAAAACCTAGTAGACTATGTCAGAGCCCACTGGTCATATGAAAGCAATTGCCACTTGAGAAGCAATTGCAGAGCCATATACTCCATGAAGTCGAAAAGTGAACCCAATGCAGCTAAAGATAATTAAGCGTGGTGTTTATTGTTGGATTTTAAACTTGTGTAGTTTAAAGAGGGTGAATGAGAAATGAAGAAAAAATGAAATATTTGAATTTCCCTCCTTGACAAAGGGACATTGTCCCATATTGGAGGAAGAAAAGACTTTTGATGTGTATATATATAATTGCTCTTCTTCTAGCTCTTAAAGAGTTAAGAAGAAGGCAAGCCTTGCGCCGCCGTCGTCGTTCGCTCGGCTCGGCTTCGGATTTGGATTTGGTCAAAGATTGATTGATTAATCTTTTTGGACAAAATTTCTTTCAATTATTTAATTAATTAAATAAATAATTAACAAAAAATTCAATCCGGAATAACCCATGACCCGTGACCCGGTCCGGTCAGGCTCGTTTTCTTTCCCGGATTATTTTAAATTCATTTTCCCATAATATTTCAAACAACCCTATTCCAACAGCCATGGCTGTTTCTGAAAGGTTGCA